TATATATATGTTACTTTTAAATTATATATATATATATATATATATATATATATATATATATATTTTAACTATTTAAAAAATTAATCGATTATTTCAAAAAGTAATCGATTAGTTTTTTCATACTTGATTAGAATAAGTTAATTTTTTAAATAATTGATTAATTTTTAAATAATTAATTAGTTTTTCAAATATATATTAAATAATTATAAATAAAAAATATATCAACTTAAAATTAAAAAAAAATTATTTTTAAATTATATATATATATTATATAAATTATAAATATCAAGTTAAAAAAATTATATTTAAAATTATAACCTTAAAAAAATTATAATTATAAAATTAATAAAAATATAATTATTTTTAATGTTAAATAAATTATATATATTATATAAATTATATATATTACATAAATTAAAATTACATATATAAACTCTAAATTAATTTTATATATAAAATTTACATAAATAAAAATAAAAATTATCAACTTAAAAATAAATTATATATATATATATATATATATATATATATATATATATATATATCTCTAAAGTATAACTTATTTTCATTTCTATAATATAATATATATATATATATATATATATATATATATATATTTTTTTTAACTATTCAAAAAACTAATCGATTATTTCAAAATGTAATCGATCGAATTTGAGAGCCAGATTGTTTTAGATAGTGGTTAATGTGTGAACGCTTATCATATATGTCACTTTTAAGAGCTGGTTCTACGTGAACCGCTATCATATAGGTCACTTTTACGTTAACCGCTATCATATAGGTCACTTTTAAGAGCGATTCACGTTAACCGCTTATCATATATGTTACTTTTAAATTATATATATATATATATATATATATATATATATATATATATTTTAACTATTTTAAAAAACTAATCGATTATTTCAAAAAGTAATCGATTAGTTTTTTCATACTTGATTTTTTCATACTTGATGAGAATCGGTTATTTTTTTAAATAATTAATTAATTTTTAAATAATCAATTAGTTTTTCAAATATATATTAAATAATTATAAATAAAAAAATATATCAACTTAAAATTAAAAGAAATAAATATTTTTAAATTATGTATATATTATATAAATTATAAATATCAAGTTAAAAAAATTATATTTAAAATTATAACCTTAAAAAAATTATAATTATAAAATTAATAAAAATATAATTATTTTTAATGTTAAATAAATTATATATATTATATAAATTATATATATATATATATATATATATTACATAAATTAAAATTACATATATGAACTCTAAATTAATTTTATATATAAAATTTACATAAATAAAAATAAAAATGATCAACTTAAAAATAAATTATATTTATATATATATATATATATATATATATATATTATTCTCTAAAGTATAATTTCTTCTTATATACATATAATTTTTAAGATTTTTATTATCCTCCTAATTTATTATTAATTTCTACAAAAATTATAATATCAAATAAATCAAAAAATTAAAAAAAGTTTAATCATACAAATAAATTTAAATATAATATTTAATAATATATTTTAAAAATATTATTTTACTACTTTCAACAATAAATCTAAATATATAATTAATTTTAGAAATATACAAATCTTTTTAAATACCTAATTTAAAACTATAAATGTTAAATAAAATAGTATAACATATTTTATATATATATATATATATATATATATATATATATATATTTTAGTTAGTTTTTTTCTTAACAAAATAAAAAGAAAACTATTCAGAATTCGGTTGTCGGAAAATCGAATTCTGAATTGTTTGTAAAAATTATAAAATACAATTACGTTTAGGTTTCAGTATTCAGCTAAATCGAATTCTCAGTTTAACAAAAAGCTGTGCTATCTAGGTAAATAAAACTTACGAGTATGCTTATTTGAGTAATTAAAAAATGAGTAATTAAAAAATGAATACGTGCTATCTGTAGAAAAAAAATTCATATAACAGAGCTCAAAATCTGAACTTTAAGTAGTACATTTTTTATAAGAAATTATGTAATTTGACATAAATATGTATGGATGTAAATATAAATATATAATTACTCATTTGCCTTTTAAACAAACTTCACTTTTAATCGAATTAATGCAGTGATTAAACATCTTCTGTTCACATAATAATTAGAGCATATATCAATCAGGTAATATTTTTTGGACCTTTGTATTTCATGCAGAACACTACTTTACTTGGGAAGACTAGCATTTTCTGGTGCTATGATATTCTCGAATCAAGAACACGTGACAACTTCTAGAAAAACATATACTGATGGAACAAAATTGTTTTTCAACATGGTAGTTTGAATCCCATGTATCTCCCTGATATATAGTCTTTCCAAGTTCGAATGATTCCAAAGCTGGTCATTAGGACAACACTTAAAGTCATCACTATGCTAACTGAAAATACTATTAAGGATGGTCTTCCATAGCTTTGAATTGCTCTCTGCACCACTAATAACCCAATAAGTGATGCCACAAAACATATTATGGCCAAGATTAGGGCAGTCTCTATTTGATCCATTCCCAACAATAGGTATTGCAATGCTGACATAGTAGATGAGAAGAAAACCATGAAAGAACATGTTGCTGCTGTCACCTATACAACAAAACAATTTGATTGCTTAGTCAATGCCAGAGTATTAGCCACAACCACTATAATCATTAGTGAGTTTATGGATTGCACCAGCCACTAATGCCTAATGTTAATCATCATGATAGACTTCTTCTTATATCTATGTATTGTTTTTATTATTGAAGATAGAGAAGGAGTTAATATGGTAATGGAACTTACCTCAGGAGCGATTCCAACATGTAGAAGAAGAGGACTTATTAGCATTCCACCTCCAATTCCAAATACACCACCCAATATCCCTGCTAGCATTGCCATTGTTGGAAAAATAAGCTTGTTTGATGGTCCTCTTGGGGATAGGCATTGACCCTGCATGCATTGATTGAATGAGGTTGTATCATAAGAATTAGAAATAGAGAAATAAGTAGCCTAATTTTACTGTACCGATTCTAAGGTAAGAATATATTATAATTTTAAAGTATTTTTATTTAATATGATTTTTTTTAAAACACTAATAAAAAAATAAATTTCTCTCAAGATTCATAATAATTTATATATAAGTTAGTTTGAAAAAAAAAATCCTTTATATCATTTATACTTTTTTTTAACTCGTGTATAAATTATAATTTTATTTTATTCTCTCCTAAAAGTCATTACAAAAGAAATTTTGATTGTGATGATTTACTAACCTCTTCCGTGATATTTTGATCTTGATGGCTATCTTTTCTGTATACAATCCAAGCAGTGAAAATCAAGGCAAGAGGGAGTTGAGCAGATGAAAGAATCCAGTATCCCACACCACATGGCTCCATTGGAATGATACTCTACTATTTCAACAATTGCATCATCACAGGGTCATTAATCAAAGGCATATATAACCTCCAAACTATAGGAATTAATTATCAGTATCAGAAACCTTACAAAAATTACATCTTAGCAACTATAAAAAAAACAATGATCTACCACTATGTTTTCTGCCCCAGATTCCACACCACAATGAAAAGGACTTCAAGTCATAATGAAAGAGAGCAAAATAGACAACTGAATTCTGTGGGTTTGATTCTCTTCCCACTCATTGGTTTTGAACAATGTTCAACTCTATTCTACTTACCATCAATTTCTCATCTGCAATTTATTAAATTTTGAAGATTGTTTTCAAAACAAATTTTTTAATAATGAAAAACAGAAACCAGCTGAGATGTTTTCATCATTTTTAACTTCTTCCTCAGTTCTACACCCTGCTCTATATTACTATACCTTGCACCACCCTCCGCCAGTTATCTGAGCAACCTTGCTGCTTAGTTACATTCTAAAAAGTAATTTTGGCAGATAGAAATTTAAGACACCCTCAATCTTGAATTTAATTAACTCTCGGGCACTAATCTTGTTCTCCTGCACTTATTCATGCTAATTTATAACCTGGCATTTTCCATGTTTTTATAAATTCAATTCTAATATCAGAGTCATAAATCACAGTATAGCAAGTAAATTAACCTGATTTAATAAATCTAAACATCACTACACAGTCAAAAGTAAGGAAGAGAAAAATCTAACCTGTCCATATTTGTTGCCACGAAGAAGATAGAGGGAGAAGAAAGAGAACCAGACCAAGAGTAAGACCACCAATTTCAGCCAAGGGATTCTCACCCTGATATTTTCTTCAGGAACCACAACCTTTTCTTCAACACTTTTGATCCCTTCTTTTTCTTTGTTCACCTTCACCCCCCCTTCCCTTTCTTCACCACTCCCATGTTCTAGTAGTCCGTTTTCAAGCCCCTCAAATCCATCATTTTTCCTCCTCTCTTCTGATTCATTCTTCCAAAACACCACTCCACTGTTGCAAGTCTTTGAGGTAGACCAAGTGAGAAAAACAGCAAACAGCACAGTAATCAACCATTCAGGGAACACAAGGTTGCATATGACCCCAATACTCACTCCTAGCAGCATACATGGTTCTGACAAAAGTGCTATGTCATAGTCAATCAATGGTTTGCCACCAAATTTAGGACTTGTGGCACAAAGATTGCACATGACATTTGCAATAGACCCTCCCGTGACCATGAAAGCTGACAAACTTGAAGCTATTTTAAGGTCTAGGCCAGCCACAATAGTCAATATGGGAATGAAAAGTCCACCACCACCAATACCACCAGCACTGGATATAGAAGATGCTACGAAACACAGTACTCCTGCCAGCACTATAGGGCCTGAAAAGTGAATCTGGCCTTCTTGGAATCCTTGTGCACCATTTCCCCATTCATATATTTTCTGTAGGAAATGGTCAATGCTGAGGGCATCTAGAATAGTTTGTGCTTGTTCTGCATTACAAGGGTTGAAGGTGATGAAGGTAAGAACCAAACATGTGAGGCTGTGAAAAGACCTCATTTGTTCGAGAATTTCTAGATATTTGTAAGGAGTATGAGTGAATGACGGTGTGTGCTAGTGCCTTTATATAGATAGAGATAATGGTAACAAAGCGTTTTGATAACCAAAAACAAAAAGGGTCACAAACACAAGGAAGAAAATGATAGTAAAAATTTTGAATAAAAGAAAATTTAGATTCTTTAAGGATAACAGTGACATTGTTAAAGGCTGGCAAAGTTGTTAGTTTTTATTTTCTGTTGTAATTTTCTTAAGATATATTTTTACTATTAATTATGAGATAATTATCTTGTTTTTTGTTTATACATATAATTTAGTAATTACTAAGTTTTCCCTCTTTTTCTTATTAAAAGAAAAAATTTATTTTTTCTTTTGACCATGCTAACATCGAAAAGACACTTGTACACTGTCTTGGGTACATAACAAGGTCTTCGTCCGCAACATTTCGACGCTGCGATTTTGATGTATGCGCATTTCAACGGTGTTCCCACTTTTTCACCTTTTTTATTTTCTGTTACACTTAATATTTAATACATTATTTAATTTTTTTAGGAAAAAACATGTTTGAGATCCTGAACTTTTAGTTAGAATGATTAATGTCCCCATATTATATAAATTGTCCCTAAGTGACATGTAAATTAGGATTTTTCTTTTCTAACTCACGCGTAAGTAATAACTATAATTTCACTTTTTTTTATAATTTCTTTCTCTATTAATTATTTTTCTTACTCTTTTTTTTCATTAATTTTATTTTTACTATTTTTTGTCTAATTGTAGAAATAAAAAAAAATTAAAATATTTTTAATTCTTTTCTTCTTCTTTAAAAAAAGTTAATAATAATGTAATTTTAATAAATAAGCCAACGTGGTCATTTCTAGATAATATTCTATTTTTTTTATTAAAAAGTGTTAATAATTTATTTTATGATTAAATATGCTAAAATTATTTTTTCGTTTTTATCATTATGATACTTTTAGAAAGAAGAGTGAATAAAATTATTATATTTATTTTGATTTTTATTATTATGATGTTTTTTTACTTGATTGAAATTTATGATTTCAATTTGTAAATAAAAAATTATAAAAAAAATAAATTAGAAGAAAAATATAGATAAATAAATTAATAAAATAATAAAATTAATGTACTCTATAGACACATAATAGCTAAGCATTTTTTTTATAATTCAGATTAATTGTTTTAGTCCCTGATAAAAAGTGTGTTAACGTTACTCTACCATAATAATGAAACTTAATTTTTGAAACTATTACAAAATTAATTAATTTAAGTGAATTTTTTAATATCATAAGTTAAGAGATGATGAAAATGTGTTGTCATAGAAATTATTATTTAATCAATTATAAAAATAAAAAAATATACCGAAATTTAATTGGATTGATAATAATTTCAAACTTTAACCTTCATTTGTGACATTACGATTACATTAAAATGATTAGGAAGGAAAAATATTTTATTTATATAAAATATAAACTGAGTGAATAGATTGTAAATGAGACGAAGGTTAACCAATGATTATTGCATTGTTGTATAATCGTATTGATTATGTTAATTTTCATAGTAATTGTTTAAAAAATTGAATTTACTATAACTTCTGACAAAACCCTGGAAAAAAATGAATACATTTATTGAAACTGTAGTTAATATTAAACATTACCAGAATGGTGTGCATTTTGACATCCCAGAAAAGAAATGAAACAAAAACTATACAGAAGTGATTTTGTTTGGGTTGTGAAGACAAATTGAAGGGAATCTAAGAGTGACAATATAGAGGACAAAGAAAATAATTAGATAGAGATGAAGATTTAATAAGAAGAAAAAAAACTCATCCAAAAAAAAAATTTATAATTTTGAAAAAGATATATTAATTATTTATTCAACATTTCCTATCCATTTTTTTTATCTCGTTAATAATTTATTTTATTCGATAATTTTCTTTATTCTTTTCATCTGTTTGTTTTTCTTTTGTATTATAAAAAAGTAACATATTTAAGTGATGGTGAGCTTGAGAGATAAAACTCGTGTGCAATATAATCAAAACATAATTGAATATAAGAATTTTATTCTGTTAAAAATAGGATAATATTTCTCGAGGAATATTTTATCCTTGAAAAAGTAAAATAAAATTGTGGCGGAAAATATTAAAAAATAATTAAGGTAGTCCATATCATTATGATTTGAAGTAACTAAATATGAAAAAATAAACACGAAAACATGTGTCAAAATACTAAAGATTAAATTTAATATAAATATATTCTCTATCCTAAATGAAACACTTGTGGACTCAATAGTTTTTGTATATAATATTAAAGAAATGTTAGAATCACTTTCACCTTCTGTAATACTGTCTTTTTGACAATCGTTAAAATAAATTAATTTGGATTATTTTACTTCTAAATTTTGTGTTTTTCAACTTTCTTTTCTCTTCTAATGTCCTTTTCTTTTGCTGTTTTATCTCAACGTATAAAAGTTGTTAATAATTAATTATTTTACTGTAAAAAATATTTTTTTTCTAGGTTTGAACAAAGACACCTTGTATCTCAAAAGCCTTGAAGTAGATGTAAATTATCATCATAATAAGATTTTGTTATCTCATCGTACACATTTTCAAATTAATATAAATAAAGTGATGTAAAGATGATATACATGAATGAGAATAAGGGATGGTTAGAACCAAAGAAGAAACATTTTTTTGTTTTTTTTGTGTGTGTTGGTCGTGTACTTATATCATGCAGTAGTAGAAAAAAGGAACAAGAGTATAACATAAATTAAAAAAGCTAATAATTTTCTTCTTGACCATATGAATTTGTATTAGAAAATGATATTTGATCACTCAAATCTATATAACTTTTATAAATAACTTTTTTTAATATTATAATAATAATTTTATTTTATTAAATTATTCTATAAATTATTATATTAATAAAAATAAGTTATTTAAAGAGTTGTATAAATTTTGTTGTCAAACTATCACTACTCATTTGTATTTTCATCATAGTGGACAAGGCAAAGTCATCTACAGAGTAGGCAACTTCCCAGAGATTTCTGGTATCACGGGGTGGGTGAATGGCTCTTCTGATGAAGACAAATCACAAATATATGCCTTCAAAGTGCCCATTTTTTTTTCCAATTATTCAAAAGCCAAACTCATAGTGGAGCCAAAAGCAGGAAAAACAACCTCCATTATATATCTGCTTGGGGATTTTTTTTAAGCACTTCCAGAAAGCGATGTTAATCTTTCTCATGACCTTCCAATAATAATAAGACGAAAATAGGATTAAGTCCTTGTGCTACCATGTTGCTTGTCTTTCTCATCGGTAACAGTTATCGAGTCGTCATCGACAAAATGCTTTTCGAAGAAATGCCCATAGGTCTTCGATTCCCAATCGATTTTAGACTTTAGAGAATTATCTGAAGGACATGCACCCTGAAAGTATCTTTCTCCTACATGTTTCAGTCCAGTTATAGCAGCAACCTCAAAGAGAGTAGATGAAAGGGGACCACAGGACAACTCCAAGGCATGTAAATCCTTGTTCCACAAGTGCACCGCAGACAAAAACATTGCCATATCCAAAAATGACAAATCGCATCGAGATAGGTGCAAAAAGTCATAAATCCCTACATCTCTCCAGTGGTTTCCAAACTTGGCTTTTACCCTATCAAACCATCTAGTAAATGAAGATTTTTTGGAAGGAGGACCCGTTCGGTATACCCTCGAGACCACATTCAAAAAATCAACCCTAACTTCAGGTTGGTGTATAAGAGCCGGGCTAGGCGCGAGGTTAAGGGGAGAAAAGGTTCCATCAATAGGACGAAGAGGACCCCCAAAAGCAAAATTAATACCCTCAATATTGTAAGGAATAAGTACCTGTGTCTCGGCAATTTTCCGAGAAGCCTTCTCCATCAAAGGAATCGGAGCAAACTTCTGGTTATTAATCTCCAGAAGAGGAGCCGTCAACGAAGGAAGAGGTGGAGCCGAAAAATCAGAAGATTTGGAGGAAGTAGCCATCTCAGTAACTGGTAGGATGAAGAAGAGTAAGGCAAAAGACGAAAGCGCAGGGATGAAGACGAGCTCAAGGAAGAAGATGAAGTTGCAAAGGGTAAATGTTCGCGTAAAAAACCCAAGTAAAAACCCAATGAAGAGATTAAAAGGAAAATCACTTAGGGAGCTGGAAACGACAGAGGTGAAAGGTAATTAATGTGGCTTGTACTGTAAGGCAGCAGACTGACAGGACAACGACATAAAGCAAAAAAGAAACCCAAAACCCCTTAAACCCTAGAACCCCAGAAACCCTAAACCCTAAGTTCTGTGGGCCTCCAAACACTAAGGCGGGAATATTGAAAGAATATAAACAAACTATTCATATTCTTCCAAGGGAGCATTTTGTTAGTGGCAAATCGAGAAAAATGATCGAAAATGAAGGAAAGAAAAGTGACTCGATAAGATAAACAAAAATTCATTCGATGTCTAATTAGAAGTACGTAGCATATAGCATCGAGAAGCACAATCGAGAATTGAGTGAATGATAACTAAATACACTGTTGTCGAATAAAAACTAAGTCATATGATGCCAAAGTTAAAATGAACCAAAAGTAATGTAAAGTTCTCGATAAAATCGAAATCAAGGGAAAGCTAATATACGTGGATATTGAAACCCTGGCCAAGCCGTGAAGAGAAGAATAAGTCAAACACACGTATAGAGAGCGGTTTCGAAATCTTGGAGGAAGTCGAAGATCGTGAGAACGTGGGAAACCAGTAGAAGATAAGCTGCCATATGCACGTAGAACGTGGTAGCGATCTCAGTTAAGCTGCTCCTGGAAAGCTTGAACGATGCCCTATAAATAGAGCAAAGAAGGACGGAACAGGGAGAGCAGAAATTGGCAGAGAACAGAATCAGTAGTGAAAAGTCTACCGGAGAAACGACGAACACCATGAAACTTCTGGCAATCTGGATTTCCTTGCTCACTGAGTACATTTACCGCTTTCT